GAATATTTGAGTTGGGTTGGGGAAAAAAATTAAAGTTAGGAATATAGTCAGTTTCTCTTTCATGGTGGAGAGTTGGAATGCACCCTTTTAAGTCACCCGTGAAAACTATTTCTGCCCTTTCAAAACCACATTCAGCTTCCAAAGCTGTGGAAAAAAATGAGGTTTTCGCTCCAGGAGTCGTCCTATGCATGCCACATGATGGAGTCCAACATGCCATTGGACAGGGCCAGTTACAGGCAGAAATGTGTCTCCCCACTTGACCCAATTTTCAGACATGGCAAAACTGTGTCATCAAAATTTGGTGGCACAGTTTCCTGCTATACTTTTCTGCTTTGAAATAGCACTGGGACATTCTCTTTAATTCAGGGTCCTTTTCCTTGCTTCCCCTCATCCTCACCTCCAATTTCAGGGGAGTGGGAAAGCAAGTAGTTTTCCATTTGGGGGAAAGGTACATAGAAGCATTTCAAGCCTTCCGGGGCTTAAGGAGAAAGAAAAAGACTTGGAGGGCCTGGGCTGTAGTTCAAGGATCTGAACAGTATTTTTTTTAAAAAAGAAAACACTGAAAATCTTTTTTAAAAAGTAAAACAGTAAATAAACTTGAAACGGAGTTCTTGTTTAATTCTTACATTGGGTGAGGATCAATGGCTGCTGTGTATAATTTCAGTCCTTTTTGTAATTTGTGTTCTCTTGATGCACTGAATGTCGAAATGGGAAATTTTATGCAATTTCATACATTACTTGTTTGTACCCCAGATTATTATAGACTTTCCACAGAACAATCCCACATGTAAATGTGCTTCATTCTCTTTTCTGGTGGGTTGGCTTCACACCCTAGAAAACAGGAATTCTGCTCCTTATCCCCACTTAGAAAACAAGGCAGAGAGCAGAATTGCACCAAAGGCTCTTTCAGTTGTTCCCCCAGGCAATGATTCCAAAAAAGTGAGGTTAAAAAAGCATGATTGCAAGAAATTGAGAGTCAGAGCTACACCAATGGTATTCTTGCTCTGTTACAATCTGTTTTAATTTGGACTGTCTAATTAAAGACATTCTGGGTGATTAATTCAATGACTTTACAACTACAAACATTGGCATACTGCTGAAACAAAATTTGCAGATAGAGATGGCTAACCAGTTGGGGACAATTGAGGAAACACCCATCCATTGTTTAGCTGCTCAGGATCCCTATCCTGCAGAAGTAAGAACATTTAAATGCTCATTAGCTGCTCTATTTTACTTTTCTACCCTTTCTGACCACCTCTCTACAAATCTTCTAAATGTGAACATTGTCCACCCATGCTCCGAACTGTCCCCAGTTATGGAGTCCTTGGTGCTCTCTGAGCTTGGTTGTTTGCTTGTAGACATTTCATTATGCAACTAGGTAACATCAGTGCGGGTGAGTGTGGGGTTGCTCCCTGTTTATATTGATTAGGGCATTGTTTTCTGCTTGATTGTTTGTCTGGTGTTAATCCCTGCTTATCTGGGTGTTGGAGCTACCAAGGAGAAAACCACACCTCTACCAAAACTGGCAGGGCAAGCTGCTGTATGTAAATAGAGAGCAAATCCCACATTCACCCACACTGATGATGTTACCTAGTTGGGTAATGAAACATCTGCAAGCAAATAACCAAGCTCAGAGAGCAC